GTGGATGAAGAAGATCCCAGTTTTAAGAAAATCGACCCTAAGGTAAGAGATCATTGACCCTGAGCTCTGAGAGATGATGACAAATTACCCAAGACCTTTAATTCTTCATTCGACTTCCTTTACCTCTATTGGTCTGCAGCGTTCCTGCTTTGATAAGTTTGCGACTGACCGTGTATGTTTCTGAACTTCACGTAGGTGACACCTCCTTTCCTCCTCCTTTTTCTCCCCCTCCCACCATTCGACCCTACTTGAATGTTAATTAGCTTGCTACGAATAAAGCTCCAGGGAGGTGTCTTAAATAAAGACATCTTGAATCGCAGGCCTGTGTGAACACTGGAAAGTTCAACAAGGCTTTTAGCCCAAATGCTTTGTTTTACTTTCATATTTTTATGTAATGCCAGTGTAATAGGGCGCTAAACTTCCCGCACTCGGAAGTTTTCAGTGCTTCTGTATCCTATTAGTCTGTAACAGATTTTACTGGGCCTGTTATTATTTATTGTGCCTAAGCAGAAAACGTAATTGCCCTCTTAAAATACGTTTCTGAACTGACTTGCTGATTTCTACAAACTTTATTTGCTCCGAGTTACTTTATTAGTAGTGTTTTGTTTAAAATTAGGAACCTTCAGTAAAATCCCTGTTCCAAAGGCAGTATATCGTGTGATTAGCTTAATAAGGTTGCACTTGAATGTTTTCTGCAGTATTATGGCAACATTTCAAAAGTATGACGCAATTGGTAAATATTCTGGCGTCCCAATTTAAGCACAGTGATGGCTCTTGTTTTTTTTTTAAGTATCTGCTTAATATTAAACAAGGTAATAATTTCTTTGTGAAGGGAAAAAAAGTCACTAAGAGGTAGAGGATTTCTGCTTGTCTGTAGAGAATACCTTGTGTGTTAAGTGCCAGTTCGGTTCTTTGTTCCTATTGAGTAAATTGCTCTTGTCTGTATTAAAAATGGCATCAGTGGGTCTGAAAACTGGGGTTATCAAATGGTTAAATTTACTCTGAGAAACAACGCTCTCAAATTCTTAAACTAGAATTTAATATGAGCAATTAACTGGAATTGTGTTTTTTGTGTGATACCTTAAATAAGATTGAACTTTTCTTTTGGTCCTGACGTTATTTTTGAAGCGTTTGTGAAATTATTTCAAGTATGAGATAGCTCTTAAAATTTTGAAATTCTTCCTCCTTCTATAGCGTTTCTTTTTAAGCATTTAATGGTAAAAAGGATGTAAATATAAAACGTAAAAACGGTTTGGTGTGTTACTGCGTTGCATTTTCCGTCTAAAATGTTCGGCGTTGTATTGCATTAGCATGAGAAAAGACTTAGAGATCTGTGTTATTCTGCGTTTTTGTTTTCCGTGTTTAGCACATAGGGTATTTGAGTACAGTTGCTAATTCTTACCAGTCCTATTACATGTTTTATGGGGACACTGTCATGCAAGATATATATATTCAACTTGCTTTCTTTTCTCCTGTTTTCGAGTGTTTGGTGTAGTGGTTGTTTTCTTGACTGTGAGCAGGCATTCTGGTTTGATTTGACTGTGTCTTTAATTCTGTGTCTGAGAGATTTTATGGGGGGTTCCTATAAAAGGAGGAGCTGGTGATGTGAAATACAGGCTCCAGCTCTTACATTCTACTTACAATGCTACTTTAGCTGGAGGTCTTAAAAGGAAAAAAAAAAAAAAAAAAAAAAAGAAAGACCTTTTGTATTGTCTCTGTGAGTACGGGAAGAGGCTAAAAATCAAATCTGAGTATTTATTTTACAAAAACAAGGCAGCTTGCTTTCAAGCACGAACCTGCCCCACCCTCTGCTAGGTTAGTGTACCTTGATGGCGGTGACTGGAGCTGCGGTGGAAAATGCTCCTTGGAAAAAAAGAACCCTAATCCCCTCTAGCTCCGGCGGCCTGTTTAATTAATGAGGCTTCATCTATTGGGTAAATGTAAGTTCCTTGTGTATTTGTCTAAACTACTGAAAAGAAAACATTGTGACAAGCTCCTGCCGAAAAACCTGCCGCGGAGATAGCATCGGCCGCGATAAGATCAGAGTTTAGACTCTCACTCCGGGCTCTTTTCCGAGGGAAAGGGTATCCCCGCGGGCTAAACCCGCCTCGCCAGGTCATGCCAGGATCAGCGCTGCGGAAAGCGCCCTGGTGACTCCACGGAACCTTGGGAAACGCCGGGGGCTGAAGAGGCGCAGGACG